CTTTTGTTACACATAAAAAGCAAGCAGCCCTTCCTTTCGCAAACCCTTGTACTAGAGATTGTTATAGCCCTCGTGCGAGGCTAATTCTGCCTTAGTTGTTAAGCGACCAGCGGAGTTGGACAGCCATAGTTTAGCTCAAAAATAGTCAAATGGTTATCACTTGTACCTCGACTTCCCAGCTATTGGCCTTTACGTAATTGGTATTCATTTCGGGAAAAAATGCTTGTTAAGCTCACAAGACATTTTTTTTCAAAAAAATTTAGAACTGAGGCATCTTTCTTTTTTCAAACTTTTGAATCATTCCGCCGACATGCGGCCTTCAAAGTTTATTCGCTTCTATCTTTGTTTTGCTTTTGTTTTCAATACCGTATTGTCCACTAAAACCAACGTAACAGGTTCTGATGGGAAAGTTGTCATTTTGGGAGATCGTAATGAAGTTGTTGTTTCTACTGCCCGAGAGGCGAAAATTAATCTCGTTGACAAGGGCACATCAAAAGGAGAGTCAATGAACAAAGGAAATATGAAGTTTTTGACCAAACTACATGCCTTGGATAAGCGGGTGAAATCCATGGAGAAGATCGAAAGAAACCTGAGAGTGATGAACCAAAGTGTACAATCTTTGTCCAGAACAATGGAGAAGGAAGATCAATCGATCTTGAAGAAACTCAAGGGCTTCGATGATAATCGAAACTCCTCCAGTGCCGAGATTAGAAGGCAACAGGACGGAATGAACCAAACAATCAGTTATTTGTCCGAAACGGTTGCGGCTCTGATAGAAAGCAACAGAAAAATGAACAAGTCAAATGCTGAACTACTTGCGAAGTTGATTTTGATCTCTCAGAGATTATCGTCTTTCGAAAGACATGGTACTTTTGTCTTCGTACTTTCATGTGATCCAGTACTTCAAAGTTCACTAAAAAAGATCATCTTTTATTGTTTTTTTCGAAAGTTAATCAAATTGAACCGAAAAGTAAAGTTCGTTTCTCCTTCAAAGTGTTAAAATGTTTTTAACTCTTTCACTTCATGACTCGATCAGCTTTTATTATTCTCTTGCATATATATTAAAAAATTTTTCGAGAATTGCAATTGACCAATGCATTAAAACTAATAAATTCGGTACAGCACGAAAAATTCTACTTTTAAAATTCCTTCATATCTCTTTACAGCAAATAAGTACGCTTTGCATTTTCCGCGAAAAGGGACCGGTGATTATGCCATCATAAGGCGAGGAATGCCAAGCCTGAAAGCAGTTACAGCATGTCTCATGTCTCCGTACCTCAAGTCGACGAAGAACTTGTTCTTTACGATTACCGAAAGTTTGTGATCTATGTGAGAAACTCTGGCAGGTAGAAACATTTTTGAGAAAGCGTTTAGAAGGACTATAATTACGCAGTCGAGGGAAGAAGTTAAAATAGGAAAAAAACCGACAACGTATTTTACCAGTACGGAGAAAAATCAGTCTACCATATGCAAGAGATCGTATGGATATGCTTTTGATGATAATAACGGTGCAAACCTAAACTTATGACGCTGTCTGACTACACTGCACCCCTTGTAGCGGACTTTTTCAGACCGTCCATTTAGGCAAGCAGTGCAAATTAACGTAAGGTATACACAATGCAAGCTGAAGAAGCTAAAATCAGAACAGAGATAGGCATTGAATTATTTGGTAGATGTGATATGTTTTTAAACACTTATTCATGAATCATATGCTATTACGTTTTTAGGAGAACTTCTGTATCGGCAAACGACGGAAAATGGCATCATATCTGTGTTACATGGGAGAATACCGCTGGATCATGGAGGCTGTATAAAGACGGTAAAGTCGAAGCCAGTGGTAAAGGGCTAGAAACAGGTGACTTAGAAACATAAAAGGACCTACACCCGGTTAAATATCCCTCTATATCATTTCTATAATCATCATTAATAGTGTGACAAATACTAGTTTTTAAAGAATGATGATAAATTGAGAAAAGACTGATCGAAGTCGTAATTCGGATTTGATTGACAATTCAGTTTATTAATTTTCAATCAGCTTTAGCCTATAGTTATAATTCTAAATTTCAAATATTAACATGATACTGACAAGTATAACTAAGGTTGCGTTACCTTTTTTCACCTTGATGTCCGATTTAGACCACACGCCGTACAGGTAATTAGTTCAAATGCCAATTTTCACCTGAACGAGTTTGTCCTTTTGCTGTGTGAAACATTTCTGATTGCTTGTCTCAGTTTCACCCACTGCATTTGAAAGGCCTAGGATAACAATATTCATACAACAATTTCTTGTAGCATGCCGTGAAGGGAAGGATGATAACGATTTTAAGGTAACTCTCAATTCTCCTGTAATTTTCAAAGGTAACATGATTCGTCCCGGAGGAGCATTGGTGCTGGGCCAAGAGCAAGACTCAGTTGGAGGACGTTTTGATTCCAGACAGTCTTTCATTGGAGAGCTAACAGATGTTAATATCTGGGATCACGTCATAAAAGAGCAAGAAATCAACCGCATGTCCAAGTCATGTCTAACCGGAGTGGGGAACTTGTTCCAGTGGCCCGACTTCAAGTCTCACATTAAAGGCTCAGTGAAGATAATAGAGCCTTCTTGTTAGACTAAGATTGCTCTTCAAAGACGTTTTTGTAGAGAGCAGCAGCGCAAAATAAAGATCACGTTCCATAATTGTGCATTGTTATCGGTTTTCTAAAATTTCTCTTCTTTCGCTCCACACAGCAGCCCTCTTTTTTTGCAGATTTGTCTACGTCTGGATAAGGCGATGGAATCTACAATATCAGAAAAGTTTACAGTATGTAAATTTAAAGCCTAAAAGCGAAGCTCCTGTTAAATAGCTTCTTAATAATCTTGCATGGGTTTACAACCGAGCTCGAGGGCAAGATTGGAAAATCCCTTGCTCTGCCGAAATCTACCCATACCCATTATTCAGACTGCATTATTTTCAACTGATATCCGGGCAAACCAAGAAATAGGAGGAGAATTATCGACGCTACCAGTAATTATTCAGATCACGTTAAAGTATTTGAAAAGATTCTATCGGCCCAAGTGACCAGGGGTACACCAACTGACAGGAGTAAGGCCTTCGACTGTTTACAGCATCCCCTGTTGCTGGCGTAGCTTCATGCTCATGGGTTTATAAAAAGTATACCAGTATATGATAATTAGTAGAACGGACAAAAGACAGATAAGTATCGACGAAGCACTTTAGCATTGAACGGCGAAAAATACTATTACACTGTTGGGTGTAAGGTGTTACTATTGACAACGAATTATCTTTTTCAGATCATATCAGTATCGTCTGTAAAAACAGTAGTCAGAAAGTGGGGGTTATACTGAGATTACGAAACCTTATCCCAACAAATTGAATGAATGTATTAGCCAAAAATGACGGCAACCGTGTAAGTCATTACCTCTCACGAAGGGAGGCGTTTTCGGGATAGGACGGCGTGGTAGCCGTGTATATGTAATGCCCGATTTACACCAACTAAACCACTTGTTGCGTTCGCAGAACGCCATCCTAAATTAGTAGCCAGAAAAAATCGAGATTTTTCGGGACGGACTTCCAAATAGCCTGGCCTCTTGAAAGAACGTAGCTGTCCTGGGCCGGGTACAAAAGATACAAACACATGACTCACTTTTCGACCAATACGAGATGACTGTTGGTCCACGTGACTTGTAACACACAATGGAAACTTTCAGAACCTTTCTTGACCTGTTTGCCTTTTAAGCTCGATTCGAGGTTTTCCCGTTGCTAGCGAAGGCGAGAAAATCAAGTTTTAGTGCGAAAATAAGTGAATTTTGTTCTTTTACTTTTGTTGGTTTGTCTGTTTGTTTTTTTTGGCGCCTTAAATTACTTGGATATATTTCGAATTCAGGCATATGCGATTAAGTGCTTTAATTGAGCAAATTTTTGGTGTACACGGCGTACAAGAAATGTTCCTTCGACTTTCGTTTAGTTATTTTAACAAATTAAGTTTCATGAATTGTAGTGTGGATCTTTCAACTTTGAGTCACATAAAAACCGCATGCAGCGTTCAAGTTAAATAATTATTGCTCGAGGCTTTCCCAGTAGCACTGCACTTTATTTTTTTAAAGTAATGATTTAGAAACTCTAAAAAGGAAGCTTAAATCCTTCCGATTGATTTCATTAGAGAGCTTAAGCAAAGTCAAACAAATTCAAGCAAATTTTGAACAAGCAAAACATTACTCTGCACACTTACTATGCACGCTTTTCTGTAGGATTTTTTTTTTCGTAGCTGCATGACTAAAAATCTTCTTATATTTTATTAGTACAAATGAAATTATCCGATTATTGTCAATAAATCTAAATCCTGCAGCTGAAGGAACTAACACTTGGGTCAACTAACAACTAATTTCATTTTGCTGTTAAATGATGCGCAATATAATTGTTCTATATCAACCTTTTTACTATAAAATTGTTTTTTAACAATATGTTAATCATTGCCATCATCATCACCTTTTTTTTCTCCCTGGACACTAACTCACAGAAGCCTGTAAAAATCTATGGTCTGCCCGGAAATAACTCACTTCGCATATCGAACGCACTCTTTAATCTATGATTACCCCTAGTAAATATGTTTAATCAAACCAGGTCCCCCCAAAAATGAAAGGAAAACTGAAACACACAAGATTCAAATAAACTTTAACATTGTCTGTTATTTGGACATGATTGACAATAGCCAGAAGTCAGTAAGAAGCTTATATGAAAAAAAACAACAACAACAAAAAGGAAAAGTGAATGGGACATAAGTCAGTGCAAGATTCTCTCTTGGTCAGTGCGTATATTTTTTTGAAAAAAGTAACAAAGCCGAAATTAAACTGGAGCAATTGGGCACTTTCTATAGCACATTTCTCAGTGAGGTTTGTCTTTTGCATGCTGTACGGACCTACAACATTAGAATTTACGCGCGGCCCTGGGTATGAGCTTAGTGGTTACGTAGCAACAAGAGACCGCCATTTTTGTTTTTGGAACTTGCAGAGAGCAATACAGCAAAATTTTGCTCAGTAGTTATGGCTCATACCGTCATTTCAGTCAAACTTCCTCCAAATATAGATCCAACCAAAGCCAGGCTTGCGTATGGAGACCGGGCACTTCCTAAATTAGTGAGTATGATTATCTGCATTTCGAAATATCTTCGATCAAAGGTTCGAAATTAATTTGTCACTCTAGACTCAGCTGGATGTTATCAGTTTATCGAACAGAGTCAATCCCTTTTACCTCTTATATGAGAGTTGCACACTGGTGGTCGACATTTTCAAACAAGACGTCTCTAATTTGCGAAAGTTAAGCTTTAGTTGTCAAAATAATAGTGCTTGATAACTTAAGTTTAACTTTTGTATCGTATAATTATATATTTGTTATTTTGCTATAATTACACTTGGGAGGTTCGTGCATTAAACATTGATTTCACCTAAAAAATATAAAACTTATCTCTACCAAAAGGTGCATATCTCTGTAATCCCTATTTGAAATCAATCTCTGAAGATTTGCCAAATAATAATGGTTGACCAAAACGTGCTACCTAAAATTAATGATTTAGCATTATTCTTATGAAATGCATCCTTGTAAACCTGGCACACAAATTGTGGATACAGTGATTAAGTGCTTCTGGTGACTGGCAATTGTACAGTTTGATTGTCATACAGGTGCAGTTTCCTCTTTAACTGGACAGTACTGTTTAACTCTTTAACTGTGACACTGATGCAAGCATGCCTGTGTGGAGAAATCTGCACAAGATCAATCAGAAGCTCTTTGTTTGGATTTGAAGTGTCAGGCTTAAGAAGTGACTTTTTTAAAAGTTATATTGAAAATGAAATTATTTCATTTTCACTCCATTTCGTTTATTCTTAATGTAGAATCGTGAGCTAAACAGCTCAGACCTTTTAACACGTCAACGGGCTCTGATGTCCCTTTGTGATGTCATGCACAATCCAGAACATATATCTGAAGGACTGCGAGTTGGTGAGAGCAGTATCACTTATTAATTTTTACATTAATTTTACAACTGACACCAAATGAATGTCAAAAGTCTGTCTTATTTGAATAACAAGAAATACAATGTATCTCTTCCCTCATCTTTTCACTAGGCGACTGACCAGAATCATTATTAAAATCATGTGGTAAAAAATGTGGCACTACTAATGTGGTGACAGTATAAGGCTTTGGGACTTTGTGGTTTTCAATTCAAAAACAGTGAAGGCACAAATACTTTTGCGAGAGCAATGATAGCATGCACGGCTTTATAATTGTGCAATAATTCTTCACGAGATATAAAAACTAAATTATTTCCTAAATATACCACATTTCTACTGTAGGTATTAGTGCAAGCTTAAAGTTGCTACTCAAAGATCCCGATGCTACAGTTAGGCACAAGGCAACTGAAGTCCTCAGTATCATTGCAGGTGGTTATACCATATACTATATATGTGTACATGTTAGGGATGAAAGTGGGGGCTGGAGATTTATCTTGCTATTAGAAATTAATATTTAATATTAACCTTAAATTGTAGATACTCAGTGCATCTACCACACCCGGCTACTTTATTCAAATGCTCACCTACTTCAAAAGCAATTAAGTTAGAGTCTGTAGGCTGTTATACAATGTAGGCCTCCCATGTAGACAGTCATTCTTTATCTTGGGGCTTTGTTGTACTATTCCATCTTCACCAAACATCTGTTAAACAGAGCACCTACCTGTACTTTCACTGAATGTATTGAATAGCAGAGAGCCATTTATTCTGCTGTATCATGTGAGAACTACATGTTCATTCATTATACAGTCTAACACACCGTAACTTTTCTTTCTCAAAACTGTAGGTCATGCAGTAGGCAGGGATGCATTTCTAGATCACAAAATGATTGTACCATTATCAGAACTGGTAAGATTTATATATTTTATTTTAAACAGTTGGAAGGATGAGAGAACTTACACTGTATTTCAAAATGTCATTCCCCTCAAAAGTTGTTTCTTAGAGTTACCTAGGAAATTTAAAGTGTTTTCAATAGTGCCTGAGAAATAACCATGTGAGACTCATTATTACTTGTAACTTTAAGATGCTGATCTTTCCAGATTCCCCTTTGTTTGATTAGGAAACAAGGTCTGACGGAACTTGACCTTCATCTCCAGGGGTGCGGGGAAGGGATACTCTGGATTTCAAGTGACAGGGATGATTGAATGGGGGCAAAAATCAAAACCCAAAAGAATCCCTTGTCCAAGACTTAACCCCCACAAAATTCCATGCCGAATTTCCAGCCATAAGAAGTTCCAGAAAGCATTAAATAATATAACACGAAAAATAAAAACATTAGTTTTGCATACCCAAAAAAGTACTTGCCAAAATTTTCGTATTCAAAAAAATTCCAAAATCGAAAATTTCACACCAAAAAAAAACCTTTGATCATCCCTGTCACTTGAAATCCGGAGTTTCCCCCACTGGGCCTTTATCATCAGTCAATGAATTTAGGGTCTTTTTCTACGAGGTACTTGTACATGTGTTGTGGTTTGTTAATATTTTTGGTGTTTTTTGAAAGAAAGAAAAATAGAATTGAAGCACGGGTTAAAATTGAACCGTGACACATGAATAAGAGAATGGGTCACACATCCCTTGATCAGTTAACTAAGGAATTTAAGCCTTTGTAGAGAAACAAATTTGCCCCCTGTCGTTCATTATGCAATGGATCATTTACATCCATGTACATTGTATGAGGTTTGTTTGTTTGTTTTTAGTTGTTTAGTCTCTGAAATCCAGTTTTCATTTTACAAAATGTAGTTTGATGACAATGTATATCAGGCAAGAAGAAATGCACACAAAGCAATAGAAATGTGTGTCCACATGAGTCCTGGCACGGAGGGCGTTGTGGATGCTAAACTCGTCCCTGTGTTGGTTGGAAAACTCTTAAAGGAGGAGGATGAAATAAAGGTAGATTTGTTGTTCAATGTATCAGGAAAATCCTGAGGGAGGGCCCCCCCTGACTTGGGTTTTTCTGTGTATGTCACTTTTTCAGCTGGAAAATGCTATTTGAACTTTTTGTTCTTCCAACCAAATTTTTCTGGTTCATTAAGATCATTTTGGGAGGCAATAGGATAGGATAGGATAATATATTTAATGTCAAAAACGTACAAACTGTACATATAGGAAGTGATTGCTCAATCTTCCGAGCCAAAACGCTTGGCAATACAACAAAATAACATGGGAGTCGTACGTAAAAAATCTACAAAAAAGTTTAACTATAAAATTAAGTACATCGTTATTTTCAAAAAAAAATTGAGACATATTAAAAACCGAGATGCATTGTCAAAATCTCTATAATTAAAAAAGTAAAAGTATAACTAAAAAGATAGATCATCTTCTAGGGTTAAAATAGACTATTCACAAATATCAGTTTATCAAAAATAATAATATTAAAAATATAAACTGGTGCCAAAAGTATGTAAAAATATGTAAACAGGTAAAATTATATGCAGTTCAAGTACCGGTACCCTGTGAACCTAACGTCAATCAGATGAGCACGAAATATTTTGTACCAAAGTGGTCGAGGATTTGGTTATTTACAATGTAGGCGGTAACTGGTTCCACATGTGGGCAATCATATACAAAAAGGAGTTGTGCATGATAAGGCACAATATTATATATTCGGGGTGTAAACACACTTAGAGATATAATTTGGGCCATCCAGTTTGAAACTCTTCAAAAATAGAATTAGCGATTGCTCGATACTTTGTACTCTTTTCTCAAGCGTTTCCATTGCAGCCATTGCCAGGCAAAAGTCATAACTGTAAGTTGCCGAATTTCCCGGATTCAGTAACGACTTGATCGCATAGTGATTAGTACGTTCGATGCTATTTTTCAACGCTTTAGATATTCCTAGAAGCAGTGGGCAGCAGTACTCTACATGCCGTATCGCGTGTCGTGTCTGTCAGTGTGCGGTTGCCCCTTAGAGGGGTAACTAGTTAGCGCCCCTGTAATCCTAGACTACGAGCAGCCTCTCTTTTTTCTTAGTCCGTCGAGCAACACGCGCGAGACACCCAACTGACCACGCGCTTGACTGAAGGCGCGAGACGGGAGAGGCACGCTCAAAGGCACGCTCTTTTCTTCTCCGGCTGCCGCCCTCGTTTCGCGCGGCTCGCGGCTTCGCCGCTCCCGCGCGCTTGCACTGCTCTCACTAAATCTGAAGAAAAAGAGAGACTGCCTTGACCACGTAGTTCTTTTTACCCGGGACAACTTATCTCCATAGTCGAGGCCCTTAGTGATGTAAGGGGTGAAATTAATGCTATCATGGTGCTGTAACTTTTTGAGTAACATTAATGTTTTGCACTGCAGGAGCTGATCTTAGATACCCTCCATTACTGTATGACGATAGAGACACAATCGGCACTGGAAAGTGAAGCCATGGAAAGTTTTACAAAATTGCTGTCGCACAAGTCGGAGACAATCAGAGCAAAAGCTGCTAGAGATATCATGGATCTAAGGTACAGCTGTAGCAGGGAGCCATGACTGTAAAGGGCATTATATTTTTTCATGCATGTCAACACCAGTCAGGCAGATTAATTTATCTTCCCAAACGGGCTATTTCCGCATTGGGACTTATTTACTTTGTTTTGACTTACAGTAAAAGGAAACTTGTGTTGCTTTAGGCGTGGTAGACATTTGAAGCGACAAGGAAAGGGGGAAAAAAAAAAAAAACGAAAATGGACTTTTTAAAGCAATTTAGTCAGCACAAAATTTTGTGTTAACACCGTAGTGTTTCTTTTGACCTAACCCCTACATATATCGTTGTGTATACAAGCGCGCCATATGAAACAGATGTCCTTAAATTTTAAATACATTTTGTATAAATCGTAAAATAGCGCTTACCAATTGCGTGTCTAAAAATCTCTGTGGAACTACTACACTGTAAATTTCATACGAAGCGGAAAGAGCCACAAATTTCCATTCGAGTTTTCAATTTTAAACATCAATTTTGTGATTGTTTTAAAAAAGAGGTGCAAAAATGGAGAGTATACATGTATGTGAGTTTGGTTTATTGACAACTTAGTGGTACAGGTATTTTCCTGTTCATTTTGGCAAACATGCACGGAAAATACAGATAAACCTGTACATGCATGTCTCGTGATTTCCACTTTCTTGTCGCCGGAATAGTAAATCTTTTTTGTTACGAGATACATGTACAACTCCGAATATGAATCCTGTTTTAGCCGTTTGAGCTTACATCCTGAAGATTCCGTTCTATACGTTGGACTGGTGTATTACGCCATTACTTTTTTTGCAGTTTCCCATTAGACGGTAAAGACAAGGCGGTAGATGTGGGAGCCATTCCTGAGCTGGTATTACTGCTAAAAGATGATAATACTGACGTTAGAGCCCAGGCCGCTGGTGCAATCATGACGTAAGTCTAACTGAGGTGTCAACAGTTTTCGCTCCCCATATTAGGGAGCTTTTGGGCCTGTGTACATGGCGTTGGGGGACCCCAGGAGTGTCAGGTATCCCGGGGTACACTTTTTCATGATTACTTAATGGTTGATAACCACATAAAACAAAAATAATAATAATAAGAAAAATGGCGTGCAAACGACGTGTTTTGGCGGTTTATGCTCTTGTACTCTCACTTCCTGCTCTTGCTGCGTCCTTGCCAGGAATATTTCGTTTAGCCTGGCTATATTTCGTTGATTTTTAAGAGTGTGTCAAGGCAATTAAATGATTTTTGACTTGTTCAGGATCACAATTACGACCAAAGGAAAGTATGCTGCAATTGAAGCAGATGCAATTCCAAATCTGGTGAATCTTTTGGAAGATCCCGAAAGTGAAGTCCGACTTAACGCACTTAAGGTACGTAGAAATCAAGGGAAGAACCGAGCCTGCGTAGAAAGCGTTACCGCGCGAGTTCGTCTAGAAAGTTGGAACGAGAGCAAAAAAGAGGAATGAAACGCTTGCTAAGCAGGCCAGCAGGAACATAGTATGAGGCGAGGATTTGCTTGTTTAGTCTTTTGGTTAAAAATAAAGAGCTTCCATTCAGCACTATTTACGTGACTATATTTTCTTTGAAATACGGCCATTTTTATCAACACTAAGAAGACGTTTTTGTACGGATTTCTGTATAGGGTTTAAGCCTGCGGGCAAGTTCTCCATTTTGGGGCGCTCTTGCGCGGCTCGTTTCGCTCAGTACTGGAAATGGATATTATACTGTCGGGCCCATAGGAAACAAGCTACCGCCATAATTTCGGTTCCTGAGTACATAATCAGCGAATTACATTACATAAGATAAACGATTCGCTTTTGGGAACATGAGCGAAACTTAAATTGTAGACCTCTAGACATGTAGTTCCGCTCTTTGTAACTCATCTGACTGGATGGCGTGATCGTTAGTCATGCGAAGCGCCTTGTGTCACCCATCTTCTTCCTGGAAACTCATATTTTTCTACTTATCAGCAGCCTGCGCTATGGGGATCAAGGAACAGGGTTCGGGCAATCTGTTTAGTTTTGACCAACGCGAAAGGCATACTCTAAGATCTTTGCTTATAGGGAGGTATATAGGTGCCTGATGTTGTAACAAGACTTTTTTGTTCTACCTATTTAGGCAATAACAACACTTTCAGAAGCTCCAATAGGGAGAACGACGTTACTGGCTTCAGTTAACCAGGTAATAGAGTGGACTCAGTATTATGGCATGGAACCACATAGAAATCCCTATATTTAGTACGCGCAGATTTAAAAATACTAGTGCTCAATTAACGAAATTTAGGCCAGCAACTTAAAAAGTTCTGCCGCGCCTGTTTTCCTTAAACAGCAGGCGTAATGGTAACTTTCATGATTTCCCTATCGGCCTTAACTCGGCCTTGCATCACGCTGTGGGAGGGAAATGCATGTGTTGTGTTCAAAAGCGTTGAGAAATGGAGACTTTGAAAGAATTAATTGTTTTCCACCCACAAATTTCTTTTGGTTTGGTTTGGTTTGGTTATGTTTTTTTTTAATTTCCTGTATGGTGGTATGAAAGTCAGAAAAGAAACAAAAAGAATCGTTTCGTCTCGAATCTAGAACCCAGGATCTTTGCTTCGGAAAACGGCGCCTTTACTTCTGTGCTTCAAGGTGGCTTGTCGAAGTATCTTTAGAGGTAGTTAAGCCGCCTTACGGCCCGTTTATGCGATTGTTGTTTTCATTGCGGAAGTACGTGCTATTGGCCGTTTTATGCTAAGGTTAAAGTCGACCGGTGTTAAAAAGGGACAAAAGGAATGGAAAGAACAGAGATTTTGAACAAAAGACAAAACAGTGACTCCTCCCAGTCGTTTGTGGAAAAGTTGGGGCATAAATCCGTCCCCATTTAAGGCGTCCCGTTTTTATACTACACGCATTTATCTTCTGAGGCGTTAATTAAAGTCGTCAGTTAAGTGCGGCTGAACGACGCAGTTAAAAGAAGACGTTAATGGCGTCAGACGTTACACGTCAGACTTTGACGTCTCTAGCATAAAAACGGTCATTGTTAGCGGTAACCGCCAAAATATATAGCATCCATTGAGGTTATGATGTCTTCAATTTGTGTTTCAGCTATCCAAGCTTATTCACGACCGTGACAGCCCAGCTGTCAGGAAAGCAGCGCAGATTGCTGTTCAAGTCATTACATGGAAACCGTGATCAGAATGGAGCTGTTTTGAATTATTTTTTAAATGAAAGGATAAAACTGTATCATATAGGTTCATTGAACAATCGTGTAAATTATAATTATTTCCCCTGTAATGGAGGATAACAGTGTTATTCGTTTAAGACGGCGTAAAAGTACTATGTTTAATTTTAAAGTTGTTTCATTATATATCGTTACTCAAATCACACTATTTTAAGAGATCCCGGTAGTCAATACTCTCTATTTACCTCCTTTAATGTAAATATTACTGTACTAGACAAAGCGAGGCATACTTTTTTTTTTTTTTATAAATAAGCAGTGTTTTATGAAATAAGTCACTCAGTAAACTCAATCATATTAACACCTATATGCAGTATTTATGGTATTTTTGGATTGAAGTTGTTATTTTTGCAACGTCCCAACCCTGTGTAAAATTACCTTATTCCTTTAAAAAACAGTAGGTTAATTTAATGAAAGGCCGCAATCTTCCGTCTTTTCCGCCACAATAAAATTCAGGGTTGCCACGGCCAGGGAAAAGTCAGAGAAAAACGAAAATTTTTCAAGGTCAGGAAAAGTCAGGGAATTTTTGAAAAGTCCGGGAAAATCTTTGATATTGTCAAAGTCAGTGAAAAGTCAAGGAATTCTGTTTTCCAGTTTATAAGTTTTCTTCAAGATTTTGAAATGCATTTTCTTTCGAAAAAGAGGAAAAGTATGCTGTAAAGCAAGCAAAACGATCAGTTTGACACTCTACGCCTGATACGTAGTAGTTGTGGTCAGTGGTTTTCGTTGTGAATGCTTTCTTCCAACTTCCTTCTTCCTCTTTCCACGAAAAGCTGAAATGGTTGAAAATGAAGAGAAAAATATCCTCGATAGCCTGCAAAAAAAGCTAAAGCGAATGTAAACACCAATTGTTTCTCATCAATAAAAGTTCAGTGAAAAGTCAGGGAATTTTTAATTTCCTGATGAGTGGCAACCCTGAAATTATTGAACTTCAATAGCGAGGATTTATTGAGTAAAATGGCCAATTTCACGGCTATGAAAGTAAAAAACTTGGCCCAATTCGAACAACAAGGGAACAAATCAACTGAAGCCGAAGCGTATGCCGTTATTGTCGGTGGGTTCGTTACTAGGAATACGCCCGTTACCAACTGGCCATTTTTTTCCCTGTCCCTAGTAACAGTCCCAGTCGAAATCGTACAACCAAGCCTCCAACTTATAACTCTCTTTGTTCCCTCGTAGCCCGTTAGAGCTCCTCTTATCACTTCACTCCTTCCTTTCGCAACAGAACCGACAGACATAGACCACATCATACCACCACCCGACTCACCAAGACCAGCGCCGTCGATAGTGCCGCTTCATATCTCCTCTCTACTCTAAATTGTCCCAATATAAACAACAAGGGCACCAAATCAATGGAGCCTAGAGGGTTGTCTTTTTTGTGGGGTGGTTTCGTACACAGAAAACCCCCCTTACCCAACGGCCTTTTTTTTCCCCTTCCCCAGTAACAAGCCCAGTACAAATAGAAAAACCAAAACCCCAAATTTTAACCCCCCCCCCCCCCCCCACCCCGCTTCCAATTATAGACCCATATACCTGGAAACAAACAAAGAAACAAAAAATACATTCAATTAAAAGCCTCCACCCCCTCCCCCAACCCAAGTGCCCTCTAGCTTGTATTGAAATGAACTCGATTTATTATGGCGTTTTAAAACCAGTTAATGCAAAATGCATTTTGAACAGCACTGCTAGCTTGCCGTTTCGAAGCGCTTTTTCTATTCCGGTTATAAGCCCCTCAGTTTATGAGCCCTTGAGTATTACAAAATAGAGGTTACAATAATTGCACAGGTTAGTAAGTTTTTACAAGCTGTCTCAGTAATTAGAGTCAACTAATTTTTTTTATTTAGCATGATGGCTTTTCAATGAAATGCGTGAGATAATGAAGCGAAATGTGAACAATTTTCTGACGCCAATTATGGTGGTAGTGGTGGTGGTTCGTCTTCATCCGAATCAAATTCAACATTCTCGTCCTTGTACCACTTTCCATCCAAGCCCATGATCCACCCAGCTTGCCGCAGGCGAGAAAAATGCTCTCTCCTAGCTTTTTCGCTAGGACTTAGAACTTTCTTAACATCACTTGTACCATTGGGAAGCTTGCCAGATTCACTGGAGCTTGGTGTGTTTGAGTGAGAATTGCTCCCAGTCTCTGATGAATCCTTTGAAGTTGATTTTCCAACTGATGCTGTTGTGCTAGTTACGGGTGGGTTAAAAGTTTGCTTACATTGAAAGAAAGACTGCTTTGGTTCACCTCGGCCTGGATTTGTCAAGATGTTTGATTCTGTCCTGTTTATATTTCCTGTTCTTACATCACTGAGATTAAGTGTGATATATTTTCGTGACTGAAAGAAAGGCACATTGTTCGGTTTTGTTTCGTTCTTTGTACACCCAATCAGCTGTTTTGATCCTTGTAAAGCACGTTCCGTCTTTAGTTGTGTGATTTTCAGTAATGGGGCTTGTTCTTCGCTCAAATCAGTTCCTAGTGTCTCCAGGTATTTCAAATGCTCTCTCTTTTGCCGCAACTCAGCATCTTCCTTCAGCTTCTCTAGTCTTACCTTAGCATCTGACCAAAAAAAGACAAAGAGAATACTACCCTAATTGTATGGACGTTTTCGACCGGCTAAAAAATTGGATCGGACACTTCGTTCACACGGGACAGTTCAATATTTTCGCTCTGCTTACATGGAACTTTGAAAGGCTAAACGTCTAAATTTTCGCACGGTTAAGGTGGTTCCTTCTGAACGAAGCAACTAAATGCACGAATTTTCAACGGGTCAAAAATTCGTCCACTGCGGTGTGAGCGTAGCCAGAGTCAACTATTTGAAGAAGGCCTAGATCTGGAGTCTTACAGGGACATTATTTCCAAGATTTACCTTTACTTGAGAATACAGCAGAAAAGCGTCATAACAGTGAAAACATTCTAATAATGTCTAGTTCGACAAAAAATACCCATACAGCCCCCCACCCACCCTCACGGAGAGCACTTTTGTTTCAGATCCCCCAACCCCCTGGAATTTCCGTATTTTTCCAACTTGGTTGGGTGCCCTGGAAAGAATATTTCCCTCAAAAATGCCGTTGCACCGCAATTTTATGCGAAAGATAATTGTTTCTACAGCAAAGCGAGAAAAATATTTTTATTCATACTAATACCGTCCCAAAGAATCTCAATTTTGCCTTGTAGATGTCTTTCTTAGTTACTTCTTAACAGTAAGTCACTTAGGTCAAAGGAGGTGGTACAGACGTGCACGACACTAGTGATGCTATCTCTCAAAGTAGTGAACTTAGAAGAAGGCTTATTAGAACATGACCACATTACAGTGAATACCACAATTTAGTAAAATCCAACTAGTAGTCTATTATCTATGCTGCATTCTGATTGGTTGAGCTACTACTAAGTTACAAGTTGTAGCCCACTAGTAGCGAAAAGCGCCAGCTTTGAAAACCAAAACAATGGCGGTTGAATCGCGTTTTACTAGCTACATGTACAGTTGTTTTGTCTCGGTATTTTTGACCAACTGGTTGGATTTTACTAAAACAATTATTCCTCGAGCCCGAATGGCCTCAGAGTCAATAGCCCATGAGGCCGAAAGGGCTATTGACTCAGAGCCCATTCAGGCTAGAGGAATAATTTTTAAATATTGTGTAACAAAGCAACAGATAGATAACCAAGTTTATAAATGAGCCGACAACAATCATGCCACATAAACTATCGTGCAAGCCGTGATAAAAGCAAGCTTCGTGAAGGGGGAAGGGGGGAGGTTGGGCAGGGGGAAGGGTATGATTATTTCCTTTGGCAGGAATCTTTGTGTAGGGATAGGTATGCTATAAATTCATCTCATATATGACTGCAAAAGTGACCTATATGTGGCCTTCCATTATCTTTCAAAATATATATTTTTATGTCAGTAATTGCAGTGATGATAAATAACAATTATTCACCGAAATGGAGGTGGCTTGTCCTGGATATTTACCGAACTGCGAAGCAGTGAGGTAAATATCCACGACTAGCCACCGACACTGAGGTGAATAATTGTTTTAGTATATACTAAAACAGTGAGATAATTGAGCACAAAAATGACGATTTTTAACTCA